CAAGGAGGTCATGTACAATGACTTGTAGTTCTTGGACTTGAGTTATGACCGACCTAGTGTCAATCATCTTGAAATCCAAGAACCTTGCAGCCACGAACTTCTTAAGTCCGGCATCCTCAGTCTTGTACTTCTTCTCAAGCGCATTCCATAACGCTTTTGAAGTTTCCATGACACTATAGACATTGTACAAGCCATCTTCCAAACAACTCAAAATGTAATTTTTGCACAGGAAATCAGAATGTTTCCATGCTTCAGTTACAACAAGTCGTTCATCATCCGGAGTATTTTCAGCCATGACCGGAGGATCCTCCTTGATGAAACGTTGCAAACTCAACGTAGTAAGATAGAAGAGCATCTTCATTTGCCAGCGTTTGAAGTCAATACCGGAAAACTTTTCGGGTTTTTCTGCCGGTGCCATAGCATGAGCAGGAGTAGAACGGCTTGACGAGGCAGCAACACTCGTAACAGTAGCACCCGTTCCCGCAACACTTCCATTAGTTTGGTTTTCATTCGTCATATTTCTGTAAAGTTGAAAACAATACAGAACTTTGTTAAATTAGTGAAGTTTTGATATCTTCAAACTGAATATCAAACCAAACATACAACACTAACAATGGTGAAGTTTTTATATACTTCAAACCCGTACGTTTATTATTCCGGCAAAGTTTTTATGTACTTTAAACCGGACAGAAAGAATTATTGGAGTAGAAAGCAACAAGGCTTTAGTCTCCAAAACAGTATACAAAATATGAATAACAGTTTAATATATGTTTCAACACAGTAACGTTAGTATTAAAATTCCTTAAGCTTGTGAGCGTTACTGTGTTAAACCAAAAATCAGACAAAACTGTTAGAAAAATAAAAGAAACTGGAAAAACAGAAGAGTTTAAGAAATATTCCGAGTCCACAATTTTCTTGTGTGTCCTTAAGGAATTTTAACCCCCTCACACGTTGCCAAGGTAATGGATTAAATCCTCCCAGGATAAAACGGAATAAACCTTCCTGCAACAGTGGCAATACAAACTGCAGGATACCAACGAACTCAAAGAACGGAGCAAAATCACACTTACGAATTTGAGAGAGAGAGACTGCGAATTAGGATGCAGTATATTCAGAAAGAAAGAAGTTCTGGAGTGTTTTTCGTGTGTAGAAAATGGAGCCTTGCCTCAGAATTTATAGGCAATTATCAGAAGAGGTGTCTGGAAAAGGTGCCTTTTCAGAAGAATACGCTGCCTGCCGCGGTCAGAGAGGCCCTCTGAACCTTCAGCAGGGTTCTGGCGTATTTTCAGCAGTGATTTGGCATTTAATTAATTATTAAATAATTAAATAAAAAAGCCGAAGCCGAAGCCGAAGCCGAGCCGAGCGAGCGAGCGACGACGGCGCGAGGGTTCATTCTCTTCAACTCCTTTTAAGAGCTTTAAGAAGTGATTCTATATATAAGCACACAAATGTGGTTGTCCCTCACCAATGAGGGATAAAGTGCAAGACAAAAGTTCACTTCTTCAAATTTTCAATTTCCCTCCATTTTATTTTCCTCCATTTCCAATTCACACTTCTTCTACTTTAAAGCCCAATGGCTTAAAGTCCAACAGTATTGTGTTGTTAAATCCATTATTCTGCAACAATGAAAAGTCCCCTTTTTTAAAACGTTCGATTTGGTGTGGTGAGATTGTTTCCTATTTTACTTTTCAATTATGCCTAACTTATTACTCCATAATTTTATTTTACCCTTTAATTTTTTTTTTCTATTTTAACTCCAAATCTCCAACCTATAACCTACTTTATTTTTTTCCAAAACTTTTGGCGCTAACATTAAATGTGTTCTGCCGCCTTCTGTTTGATTTTTTTTCTCCTAATTTGCTTTTAACTCAATTCTAATTAGTTGTGCTCCTTTGTTTTGTCTTCTTCTGTTTCGCTCCTTTGTTTTGCTTTCTTGAGGTATTTTGCCTTCTCTTTGTTTTATTTTTTAAAATTCTTTTTATGCATAATTTTTGATAAATTTAATATTTAAACAATTGAGGGTATTTTAGTAAACTTATCAGTTACAATACAATACGATACAATCAAACCAAATAGCAAAATATTATTTAACAATAACAAACAATACAATCTATCCAAACATTGTATTCATAAAAAGATACAATACAATACGATACAATACAATACAATACATTATAAAACGATGAGGAACAATGATCCAAACAGAGTGTTAGGTTAGCTTCTCCTTTTTTGTTTTTTCATTATGTTTTTATATTGTGGGTAGATAGAATATCGGCCATTGGATTAGTGTAGATCAATGGTTATGATTAGGGGAGGGATATGATGCGTGAGAAAAGGGTTTGACCTAAAAGGAATTGGGAGAATGGGCCTTTTCTTGCTGGGCCACTAAAATTCGAAAGAGACTTTTTCCTTCCTATACCATATATGAAACCTTATTACCCAAAATGTGCATAGTTTCATATTTACCCGCCATGTTCACAGTTACTCTACAAAATATATACCATTCATTAAATACCAATTATTAGGAGCTGATTCCTTCCTAATTAGGCGCACTACAAATCTGGAACTAAATATTCTTCCAGATATTCCTATTTAGGCGCGCTACAATTATGGAAGTAAATATTCTTCCAGATATTTTCCACCATTGACAGCCATTAAAAAGCTTGAAAGCTTTGAATTCAAATTTGGGTTTTCAAAAATCATTATTTGTTTGGATTGGGTGTTGTTGAAAATAATCGGGAATATGGTTTGGAGTTTATATCTCAATTTTGAGGGGTTTTGGTGAAGATTAGACTTGGTTTTGACTGAATTTCAGATTGAAACTCGAAGAAGAAGAAGAAGAAGAAGAAGAAGAAGAAGAAGAAGAAGAAGAAGAAGACATATTGCAGAAATTGTAGATAAATTGTAGATTATTTGTATTCTGATAGTAGATACTTTATTTTCTGTTTTCACAAATAAAAAATGGCTAAAACTTCTACAAATCTTCTGAAAAAATACAATTATGTCAAAAATCCCAATTATGCTACAATTGAATGGGAATGAGATATAAAAATTCAATGTACCCTGTTTGTAGATATTTTATAGATAAATTTTAGATTATTTGTATTCTAATTGTAGATTTGTTTTCTGTTTTCACAAATCAAAAACGACTAGAACTTCTACAAATCTTCTGCAAAAAACGCAATTATGTCAAAAATCCCAATTGAACTACAATCGAATGGGAATTGAGATATTAAAATTCAATATACCCAGTTTGTAGATTTTGTAGATGAATTGTAGATTATTTGTATTCTGATTGTAGATGTATTATTTTCTATTTTCACAAATCCAAAACGACTAAAACTTTTACAAAATCTTCTGCAAAAAACGCAATTATGTCGAAAATACCAATTAAGCTACATAATTGTGTTTTGGGGGAAATCACTGTTATTTAAGTGTTTTGGGTGATTTCATTTGCAGATTACGACTGTTGACGAGGCTAAGAGATTCTATCCTTTGTTTGGACTTGGTGCAAATGTTGCTCTGATTTTCTCAGGTCGCACAGTGAAGTACTTTTCTAGCCTGAGAAGCTCTTTGGGTCCTGGAGTTGATGGTTGGGCCATCTCTCTGAAAACGATGATGAGTATTGTAGTGTTGATGGGTGGGGCAATCTGTTTCTTTTACCGGTGGGTGAATAGAAATGTTACTGGATGATAGAAGAAACTATTATCTTTTGCTTGACTAGTAGAAAGCACTCTCTTTCATCAATTTGTTTTTTTGAGAAGCAAATGCACCACCTTTTTTCCCTCGTCTATCACTTCTACTAAAATGACGATTCATTGCTGGGTGAGGGTGAGGGTTTGGGAGAGAGAAACGTGGGAGGGGTGGGATATACGGTACCTTGAATTAAGGAGGGATATACGCTGCATTAATTGTACCCTTAAAATACACTATGGTATATAATTGGTAATTTGGTATACTAAGTGTAATTAAGTCAAACCTTAAACATTGAGGGTAATAAGGTTTCCTATGTGGCATAGGAATATAAAAATTCTAATTCGAAAATGAGCTCCCAATTGGCCCAAATTCAATTCTTTCTCATTGAATAAAAATAAAAATAATAATACTACAAAAATATACTATGTAATCTTAGTTAATAAGAATAAATTATTAAAGTAAACTCTATATTAAAATAAAAATATTTTTGATATTTTTTTAAATGTTATAAATATTATAAAATACTAATAAGCTAAAAAAAATATTATATAACTATTTTTTTGTGCTTTTAAACTCATGTTTTAAAATTAAAACTAAAAGTTGACTGAAATTCTATAAAAATGAAAATAAATAAATATTTTTAAAATACTACTTTTAAAAGCAATGCGGGTTAAAAATTACGTGCTTACACCATACACTAGAATTTTATTTATACCTGAGACCAAATAATTAATTCTCAATCTACTTTATTATCCACTAAAGCACTCACTTGAGTGCAGAGTATATGTACTATGTATCTGTCACATATTTATTCAGACCAACAAATAATCACTCTTTATATTATACATGTATTTTCAAGGGCGGACGCACATTGGCCGAAGCGGTATTATTTGATATCGCTTCATCGGAAAAAATTATTAAATGTTTACACGAATATTCTGCAAAAATGAAGTATTATATAATGATGACAATGCTTCTAGGCAAAGAGTACTTCTTGGTTCACACAAACTCATACTTGGCCTTGTAAAGGTAGTAGATTCGAGGTTGGACTTCAGACACTCTTTTTTTGAATATCTTTGAGCGAGCATTTTTCTAAAAATTTGAGGCTAAGGAAAATCAAATCTACACCTCCATTTGCAATCATTTTCAACTAAATCATTGGGCAAAGACTTTCAACTTGTTGAAAAATAATATTAAATAATAATACTTATTATTATTTTTATTTATATAAATTCAACATCACTTACAAAAAGCTCAACTGCCTACTCCCCTGCGTACTTTATATCTTACAAGTGACACAAAAATCAGAAGGAAAAGGAGCTGGTAATTAAAAGTAAAAAGGTAATAGAATTAAAATATTTTACAGTCAAACTTCTCTATAACAGTCTCGTTTGTTTGAAATGTTATTATAAAAAACATATATTATAACAAAATATAAAAATCGGTACCAAGAAAAACTTGTTTTTATAGTGAATGAGTTATATAAGGATGTTGTTACAGAGAGTTCTGACTGTAACGATATGAGATTCAAATCGGTCAACGTGGAGTCAAGCATCGCTTAAACGGCGATTTAGAACTCTGCCGTCTACAATACCCACAACCTGGCAATTTTCTGCAATCAAAATTAATTTCACAACGATCCCAACAACGTTGAGTATATGTAAGACTATCTGGTAGCAGAATCTTTTCAATGAACTCTACTTCAAAAGGTAAGTCTCGCAAAGCCATTGCTCGAGTGTTTGAGGACCAAAACGAATGAACTGCATTATAACAAGAGTTTAATTTATATATAATAAATAAATACTTATACTAATTTACAAAGGGACTAAAAGATGATGAAGTTACTGACCTGTTAGTACCACAAAGAGAACATAAAAAAAGAATAGGCACTTTTTAGTCATGTTAACAAGAGTTTGGAGTAGGAGAAAATTTTGAGAAGAAGAGCTAATTATTTGTTGATGAAATTAAAGGACATATATAAAGCCTCTTAAAGTTGTAAAAATATAAAAATATATCTATCTAAAAACCCTTTACTATAGTGTCCTTACAATGGAGTAGTAGTATCTTTATTTGTTTTTAAAAGTCAATCTTTTTAGGTGTTTGCATATTAAAGCCGCCAGTAAAATAAAATAAAATCTATCAGAGTCGGAATCAGAATTTTAAATTTATGGGCTTGGAATTTTAATCTCCTTAACTTACTGGGTTTTAAATTAATTATTTATATATATCTAATAAATTTTTTAAGACAAATATAATATTCAAACCAAAGCTACTGGGTTCGGCAGAACCCGCTCTCGACACTCTAGCTCCGCTCCCGCAATATATCAAAGAAAAGCCGCCGTTAAAATAATGTATTTTCAACTGCCAAAAACACTTTCAATTCTTTGACTGTAGGCGGTCTTTTACTTGAGCAACTAGTGCATTTTATAATCAATAAAATATTGTGCTATAATAATTGTTTACCAAACAATTAATTACTCCATTATAAAAGTGATTCATCCTTGGCTGCTTCATATATTAGCAGCCGGAGAGAGAATGCAAATGGGACACTAGCAATGGATAATATGGTTTTAAGAAAGATATTTTTATATTTAAGAAATTTAAAAAAAAAAAAAACTATATATGTGTGGCCTTTCATCAAGCAAGAAAATACACACACACAATTAGCTCTTCTTCTCACAATTAGCTACTCCAAATTCTGTTAAAATGGCTCACAAGCTCGCTTTCTTTTTTTGTGTTCTCCTTGTGGCACTGACTGGTGTGTAACTTCATCATCCCCCATATATATATATGTGTGTGTGTGTGTGTGTGTGGTATAATTAAGATCTTTATATAAATTTAATATTTATTTTTTCTAACTGCTATACAGAGACGGATTCAAGATTTAAACTTTATGGATTAAGATTCTCAATTCTACCATATCTCATCTAATTTAATGGGTTCAAAAATTACTACTTTGTACATATTTAATGATTACTGGTGCAAAGATACAGGGTATGAGCGAAAGTTATGGGTTTAGATGAACCCATAGCCTATATACTGGATACACCTTTGTTGCTATACATGAATTGTACACTGATTGTACACAGTTATACGGATATTATATGAATTATACTTATATTATTCATCTGGCGGTTGTTTTAAGTTTAAGCGATTGAATACGTAACTATTTAGGTTCGTATAACTATGTATCTCTACTTATATTAATTTTATTGATCATCTTGTGCAGTTCATTCAAACACTCGGGCGATGGCGGTGCGAGACTTACCTTTAGAAGAAGAGGTGATTGAGCAAATTCTAGTACCAGATCTTACTAATAAAAAAGGATGTTACAACCTCTGCAAATCTGATGCAAATTGCAATAACAGAGGTTCAGAGTGTAGGCAATGTCGAACGGCACATAATCATTATGATATTACAATGAGATGCTATCCCAGGATTTGAATCTCATATGATAACCGATTTTTTACAAAAATAGCCGGTCGAATTCATAAATGTGTTTTTTTGTGGTCCTTTTTTACTTTTACTTGCTCCGTTTGAGCTTTGTGTCATTTGTAAGGTAAAGAATACAGTGACTATCCATTGTTCCAAATAAATATGTGATGGATATAATAAAAGGATATTTACATAAATAACCGGCTAAATTTGTAAATGTATTTTCTATTGTCTTTTTGAGCATTTTGTAAAAGGTAAAGAATACAAGTGACTATCTATTGTTCCTAATAAATATGTGATGGATATCAATTCCTAAGCCTGCAAATAGTCAAAGGTGTTACTATTGCGAAAAATATGTGTTTTGGTATGAGTATGTTGTATTTTTATTTTCTTTCCCTTATTTCTTGTTGAATGAATTCTGTTCTTTTACTCAAAATACCATGGTTCAAATTAAAGGAGTCCCAAACCTACCTCTAATAATAACCAACTCGAACAATATCTTTTTTAAAATCTACAATTGTCATTTATTTATTTTTACAAATACGTGCCATATCACTTGTTTAAAAGCGCACACAACGTAAATTGGCATATGAAATAATGCAGCAACTCGAGAGCAACCAATATATGTCTTCATCATGTCAAATAAGCGGAAAACAAACGCACACGTCTAGTCTATACGGCCACCTATTAGTGAGGGGAGAAATATACACATATTTGCTACTTTTTATGTCTCAATTTGTATAACGGTGTTTTGTCTGTCCACGAAATTTAAGGAAGAAAGAAAAAATATACTTTAAAATTTGTAATCTAAAACAAGTAATAAATATTTGTGTGACTGTAACACTACTAGAAATTCGGCAAAAACCGACCAAGAAAAATCGATCAAAGTTGGTAGGTTTTTCAAAATATTTTAATTTTGAATTTTTTTTTACGAAACCGACCAACTTTGGTCGGTTTTCTTTGACGCAAAAATGCGGGAAACTATTTTTGAGTCCCGCGAAATTTATTTTTCAAGAAACCGACCAACTTTGGTCAGTTTTTTCAATTAAAATATATAAAAATTGATATTAAAAAAAACCGACCAACTTTGGTCGGTAAATTTGGCCAGTCATTTTAAAAAACCGACCAACTTTGGTCGGTAATTTTATTTTTTAATAAAACCGACCAACTTTGATCGGTTATTTCGTGCGAAAATACAATTAAAGAGTATAAATTAAAAAAAAAAAGATAATCCTAAAACAAAATGCACCAATGGTCTAGTGGTATAACAGTATCCTGCCACAGTACACACCCCGGTTCGATTCCCAGACGGTGAATCTTTTGATTACATAATTAAAATGCCGACCAACTTTGGTCGATTTTTTTTTTTGCAATATTTTTTTTTGAATTTAATTTACCGACCAACGTTGGTCGGTATATTAAAACAACCATCAAAATACCGTCCAAGCGTATTTGGTCGCGTTTTGGTCGGTAATTGGCCATAACCGACCAAAGTTGGTCGGTTTTTTGGGTCGGTATTTACCGAATTTCTAGTAGTGTAAATCAACTTATTAATTAAGGGTAATATTAAAGATTTAAAGTTAAAAATTAGTTTTCATTAAGAAGGATCCAGCTCCCCTCAATTTCCTAGTCTCTCCATTTCTCCAAGTTCCTACTTGAATTGGAGACACTTGTCATGGTTAAAAATTAATGAATAAGATTTAAATGAATAAATTAAAACCCTAACTATAGTTAAAGTATTTAATTCCTTCTTTTATTCCTTCTCAAATAATATCTTTTGTCTAAATATTAACACAGTCTGAACTATCTGATTATTGTGAGAAGAAGAGCTAATTGTGTGTGTGTCCATTTTCTTGCTTCAAGAAAGGCCCTATATATAGGATTTTTCCAAGTCATTGGTGTGTATCATGTCAGTAATTCTTTAATTCTCATACTGCTAATTTGGTAGATAATTGTGATCATTAATAGTTTCTTAATATGGTAATTAAATCTCTTGAGATCTTCTTACTTCAATAGAAGCTAGCATCAAATATAGTCTGATATAGACGTTAATAGTTGACAACATCAAATTGTTGGGTATGTTATATTTTTATTTTTAGTCACTAATCATAGTACTACATATCTCTCTTGTTAGTATAATTAGTTGCATGTATTTTTAATTGTCGAAAACATTACTCACAGAGTATTTCCTGTTTTATTTATCTCCACCGTAATTTTCAATTTTCAATATAAATATATAATGTTGAATATTTCAGATGTTTCTGAGAAGCGAGCGTTTAAGATGTTGGGGGCTGGGTATTTATCAAAACCTGAGGGTAGAAAATGCAAATAGCTCAAACGTGAGTACCCTTATAATATCATTGTAAAAAAATATTTAAAATCTCAAAAAAGAAAAGAGGCAGAAAATAGTCGCCTGCTCCAGAAGAGACCTACTGTTAACAAATATAATTTACTAAAAATTCTAAACTCGGCCCAAAAGTTTTCAGCATCTATAAATCGGCCCAAACTTTTCCACCATATATAAATTGGCCCAATTTCTACTCTAAAGTTTATAAAGGCAGAAAACAGGTCGCTTAATGTACTACCAACCTACTGTTTTTAAAGAAGTAACTTGCTAAAAGCGCCTACTAACTTACTAAAATTTTTAAAATCGACCCAAACTTTCCACCATGTGTAAATCGCCCGAAATATTTCTCAAATGTTTAAAATCTCCACACACCAGAAAAAGGACCAAAAAATTAGGTCGCTGGCTGTATGGGCGACTTACCGTTGACACAAAGTAACTTATTAAAAGATAAAAGAGCCCACTAATAATATTCTAAAATCGACCCAAACTTTCCACCATGTATAAAGAGGCACAAGATTTTAAAAATCTATTCAAATCTCCACACACACACGAAAAAAAAAAAAGGAAGGGAAAAGTAGGTTGCACTGGCGACCTACTGAAAAAATAATTTACTGAAAATGCCCCCTAACTTACTACAAATGCTAAACTTAGCCCAAACTTTTGTGACGACCCAAAGGGTCATCACCGGATTTCTTCCTATTTCCGTGCTTTCGAGGCCTTGAAAACCTCGCTTTTAGTTGCCTCGATTTGCATGCGCAGTCCGGGCGCGAAGCCGGTAAGCTTTTATGTTGAAATATGTGAACTTTGTAAAAAATTTGAAGAATTTTGATATTAATATTGCTAAAGTTGACTTTGGTCAACATTTTTGGTAAACGGACCCGGACCCGTGATTTGCCCGAAGTCGAATTTCGAGGTCGAGAGCCCGAGAAATGAATTTTTCTGTGAAATTATTTTCTGAAATTATTAAGGAAAATGGGAATGAAAATTGATTAAAAGACTATGGTATCGGGCTCGTATTTTGGTTCCGACGTCCGGTACAAGTCTTAAATATGTGCTAAGCGCTTTCTAAAGTTTGGTCGAAATCGGACGTCATTTGACGTGTTTCGGACCTAAATATCTAAAAATTGAAGTTTAAGAAGTTTGAAATGAAAAATGATGATTTTGAGGCTTGATTCATTGATTTTGATGTTATTTTGGCGATTTGACCGCTGGAGTTAGTTCGTAGGATGTTATTGAGTTAGTGTGTGTGTTTGGTTAGGAGCCCCGAGGGCTCGGGAGTGTTTTCGGAGGTGTTTCGGGGTGTTTGAACTTAAGAAAAATTGCAAAAAACTGCTGTTGCTGGTGTCCAGGTAAATTGCCCTCTGCGATCGCATACACCTTTCTGCGATCGCGTAGGGTTACTCGATCAGGTCTACTTTCTGTTCTATGCGATCGCATGAACTCCTCTGCGATCGCGTACCTTAGCCCCTTCGTTCTTTGCGATCGCATTAAGCTTCCGCGATCGCGTTTCATTAAACCAACCCCGGTATGCACAACCTCTTTTCTTCTATGCGTTCGCATGACCACTTCTGCGATCGCAATGGTCAATTTTCCCTTCCCCTATGCGATCGCAAGCCTCCTTCTGCGATCGCATAGAGTAAATACGCCCAGTGATTTTTTTTTAAAATGTTCAAAACAGAATAGTTTCGGGACTAAGGCATTTTTCTCACGAACCGTCTTCTTCCCCAAGCTTTAGGACTCCATTGAAGCCCCCACTCTTCAAGATCACTTGAGTAAGTAATTTCCCACTTATTTCCTTCACTTTTCCTTCATTAATTAGCAAGTTTCTAAGCCTAAATCATGAAATCAAAGTAGAAATCAAGGGTTATGGGTAGAGTTAGGGTTTTGAGAATTTTGGGTGATTCAACCTCAATTTGGGGTCGAATCTTGAAATAAATTATATATTTGAACTCGTGGGGTTATGGGTGATTGGGTTTTGGTCCGAGCCTCGTGTTTGGACCATGTGGGTCCGGTGTCGAATTTTGGTGTTTTTGGAAGAATGATAGGAATTTCATTTCTAGGCTATGTGATTATGTTTTTGAGCCCTTATTGATATTATTGAACTAATTATGCCTAGATATCATTGTTTCGGAGTTGGATTGTAGAGGAAAGGCGGTATTAGAGAGTTGATTGCTATTCTTGGACCGAGGTAAGTGTTTGTTCTAACTTTGGCTTGAGGGAATAGGAATAGGATGTTATTTGCTACTTGCTAAATGTGGAGTATGGTGTATAGGCATGGTTACGGTTGTCTATGCACCGGAGTCTAGCATGACCGTGAGTCTTAATTGCTTTTAATTCGAATGATGCGACACGACTTCCTTGTTTAATTGATAAATTTCATATAATGTGAACGGTTAAGGAAGAATTGTGATTGATATATTTTGGAGCGTTGGCTCGAACAAGAATGTGATAGTAGAGAAAGAAGTGATTTAAAAGAGGGCGTGTTGTGATTATTCCCTTGCCGGGACGTGTAGACTATTATTACGTATTCTCCCTTGCCGGGATATTTGGGCTGTTAGCTGTACCCTTGCCAGGTTAAAATGTTATGTTGTCGAATTGCCCAAATGGGGCCTTCTTTACAAAGTCAGATATTTTGAACTATAATATGGGATCGTGTGGCACGCCGTCCACTTTTATATTATGAAACGGGATCGTGTGGCACGCCGTCCACTTATACTCTATAATATGGGATCGTGTGGCACGCCGTCCACTTATATATTTATATATATTATGAAATGGGATCGTGTGGCATGCCGTCCGCTTATGAATTAAGAAATGGGATTGTGTGGCGCGCCGACCACTTATATATATGAGCTATGGTATTGAGATAGTTTCGTCGTTATATCCGTGGATCTGTATTCACTGTATTTTCCCCGAGCATGCCCCCTTCCCCTTTTTAGTTGACATTCTCTGTTGTTATTTCTGTTGCCTTGTTATATATATATATCTGTACAGGTTGTTTTTGGTAGGTCCTGTCTAGCCTC